AAATCTTTGCCACCTGCACATCGGGTTGAGCATGCATCTTCAGGATATATAAAGAAATCATGCAATGTAAAAACAAGYATCCCAATCACCAAATGTGTAAAGGAACTGAACAGGCACATCACAGAAGATATACAAATGGCCAACAAACAAACAAATAAAATTTACACATTGTCTGGGGAATTTAAAATTTAGATTAGTTTACCCTAAAATACGCATTGAGTTTTTTTGGATTTAAATCTTTTCTTTTCAATRTCTTTATTTTGTTTGTTTTTATGTGGTGCTGAGAATCGAACCTAGTGGCTCACATGTGCAAGGCAAGTGCTCTTCCACTGAGCCATAACCCCAGCCCGAATTGTTTTACAAATGTGAAATGTAATGAGTATATTCAGAGGTCACAAATCTGAAACTTTTCACATAGGCTTCAAATATGTTAGCATTTCTTTTACTGAATATTTTTTTAATTATAGACAGTCTTTTATTTATGTTTATGTGATGCTAAGGATTGAACTCAGTGCCTCACGCCTGTGAGGCAAGCACTCTACCACTGAGCTACAGTCCCAGCCCTAGCATTTCTTTTTGTGCCTTTTATACATATACACCCCCCCCACACACACACACATCATTAAATTTATTTCTTCTACTTTAGCATTGATGTCATCCAATTGTCACATCACTCTCCAAATTTGTTTATGTGGCTTCTTGTCTTTTTTGAACATTCCTGACAGTTGGTTAACCCACAAGTGCTAACTTTCAAGCTAGACTTACAAATGACCATCCAAACACTCAGCCTTCTGTGTGTATTGGCAGGGGTGTTCTAGCCTAGGGCTTTCAAATTTTGAGTCTAATTATTTTCATTCATTGTTTTCAATTGCACCACTGCAATGATGAATCATACTTGACTGCTAAATTCAAAACTTAAATGAATAGTGGTTTTCATATTATTAAAATAAAGAGAATAGCAAAGATAATCTGTTATAGAACTTTCCATTATAATGATTTTGTAAAAGTTCTTAGAGAATAATGAAGGGATAGAGGCTTGGTGCCTTCATTCACAAAATCTATTAATTTTCTGAGAACACTTATCATAATAACTTCTTGTTGAAGTTAGTAACAGAACATCTCCTATGGTCAGTCCATCCTCTTCAGCAGGAACATTTGCAACAATTCCCTGATAGAGAGCTTTGTTAAGTCTTTTACAGTCTTAATAGAAATAAAAAATGTCATTTAAATGCTGACCTGCCAACCCAACTGTGCTCAGAACTAAATTTTGAGTCTTTCTGATTATTTTCATTCATGTTATTCATGAAACTAAGGTGTTTCAGTACTAAAGTGGACAGTCCTGCACACACTGCCAGTGGATGTATAATTACTTGACACAGGAGCTTTTGGGAGACATCTCATATACAAGCCAWAGTATTCCTGCTTGCTGGAACTAGAATGTAAGTTCCTTGAGGGCAAGAACCCTTCTTGTTTTATGTAGTGCTCTTCCTGGGCTTACAGCGTGCTTATTACATACCAGTTACTCAGTGGTGAATGGATATTTCAGCTCGGGTTTCTTAACTAAATGTGTTTTGTGTTCTTGTGCCTCTTTCATGTATGTATACACAAACTTCCATCAACTTCACTCCACAGATTTTCTGTTTTCTGGTCCCTCTTTCTGCCCCCTCCATCCCTGTTCATACCACTCTACTGATCTTCCCTCTATTTGGATGAAATTCCCCCCCCCCCATTTTTTCCCTTTACCTCTTTGGGGGCCTTCATTTTGGATTAGATTCTGCATAGCAGAGAAAACAATCCCAACATCAAGTATCTTCACAAGACACTAACTTAAAAAAATAAAAAATACAAACAAATTGCAGGAAGAAAGTACAGAGAAAGGAGGGAGGAGGGGTGGGGGAAGTGCTGGAGACTGAAATAGAACAAATTATCTTCCATGTTTTTATGATCTTTGTCAAGATGTATTCCAATGTTATATATAACTAAAAAGAATCAATAAAAGAAACAAGTGAAAAAAGTGTTTTAGTGATGTCAAAAGTTTGGGTTTTTCAAATGCAAAGGTCACATCTTGTGGCAAAGAAAATCAGTCATTGCAACCTATCTGCAAAAGTTTTGCAATGCATGCAGTGTCCACATGATGGAGCCAGTTCCTGACTTACAATATTAATTGTACAATGACTGACTTCATTTGTATCATGTACTCAGTTATTAACTCAAAATTTCTCCTGTGCTTTCCTTTCTTGTTTTCCTATGTATTTATTTATATTATGTGTACATATATACATGTATTGGTGTATTTTCACCCCATAGGCTATTAAATATTTAAAGTATAGAATATATTAATGATTAATTAAAATAAATACAGATTATATATTAAACTTATTAATACATTAAAATAAAATAATTGAATAAACAGGAAAGAGAAATAGACATTTGCTTTAAGTAGTATTAACTGAAATATGTATTATTCAATAAAATACAGAGACTCAAGTCTATAGGATAAACAGGACTATCCCTATGTTTATTCTATTTCATGCTAGAAGAGGAGTCATTTTCTCATAGATTTGGAGGCTAGAATTCTGAGGTCAGGATGCCGGTGTGGTCAGGTTCCCATAGTTGGCCACCTTTTCAAAGTGTCCTCAAATGGTGAACAAAAATGGCACTCCTTTCAGGACACTAACCCATCCTGTGGCCTCATTTATCTGTAATTACCACCCAAAGACGATCTCTCCAAATACAATCATATTGTGTATCAGGACTTCAATATATGAACTTGGGGAGGATACAAGCGTCCGCTTCTGGCAATTTCCTTTTGGTTACCCATAAATGGTCTTTCCAAGTCTTCAAGAGTGCTCCTTTCCTTTCTTCTATATGCAAAAAAAAGTATATGTTCTAATAAAAAGCCATTTACTAATATAAAATTCAATCGATCTTTTTAAAATTATGTTAATATTAGTCCTTAAAAAAAAACCTCACAAGTCCCTTAAGTAGAAACTCAAAGCCCAGACTTGGAATTACTTTTTAAAAGGCCTTTTAAAAATACGGTGTCATATGTCAAAATTTACCAGAGAGAGAGAAGTAGATCCCATTTCAATGTCAGTTCACCTTATGCTACTGCTACTCAGATAGGAGAGAGGCTGTTCTGGGACATTCAGGTAGCTCCCAGAGGACTGAGAAAACATAAGAGAAATGCTTGCTATCCACACACACTGTAACCTGGTCATAGAGTCTGATTTTTTTCTGGGTATCTTCTAGGACTTGTTGATTGTTGATGCTAGCTCTGTTATTGGCCTTCTGGTGTCTCTAATAGTGTTCATTTGCAAAGGCAGGGCAAAAGACATCCATGTGGTGCTTAGTAATCACAGATTAAGCTATCTAGTAGTACTTGGTCCTTAAAAGGGAACTGTGGAGGGCTGGGGCTGGGGCTCAGCGGCAAAACACTTGCCTGGCATGTATGAGGCATTGGGTTYGMTTCTCAGCACCACATATAAATAAATAAAATTAAGGYCTATCAACAACTAAGAAAAAWATTTYTWAAAAAGGGACTTGTGGAAGCACCTGAGGATTACTGAAAAGTTTCCTTCCACCTAATGAGGCAGTCTGGCAGTTTCCTGGTTTTATATATTTGATTCAGTAGAAATACTGCAGAGTGGTATGTGACCACTTGCTGCAGAGTCCGGGTTTCTCTCTAATAAAGCCATTCGCCAAAGGCAGAAGTTGTGGGTTGGCTACACTGGCAAGAATGAAGCACATGAGTGAATGCAACKGTGTGGGGGCATTCTCTGTAGGAGTTCAGTCTTTGTGGATATGTCAGTCCAGGAATCTGACTTCTAGGTGTGCTACAGTGTGGCCAGACAGAACCCACCTACCTACCTTGTGGGCAATAATGTTGGTATTTGAGCTGGCCCACCCTTTGACTTATTTGGATGAGTAGCTGAGTCAGTCATGGGGAGGCAGGATTATTAAAG